TAGATGCTGATATAGGCTCACGTTGATCGACGCACTGGTGAGAGTACGAACGACGTACTCGGATGACATGAATACCTCAATGCAAGCATAATAAGAGCTCCAGTGATGGCTGAATGCTGAGGCCAATGAGCTCGCGGGTCCAGTTGATTCGCCACCCGAGCACTATCATCTACTTGCACCTGATTTTCACCACAGTCGGAAGCCAAGTACTAGTAGAAGCACTCACATTCTGAAAGTTGTAAAGTATCTGTCCCGTTGAGGGATCCTGAACTGCAGGGGGCCGAGCCGTCAAGAGCTCAATCAATACCATGCCGAAGCTAAGACAAGACGATATAATCCTTCTCTATCGAATAACACTATCAGTGTAAACCAAATCAATCGAGCATGCGTTGTACAGCGAACTTGCGATTCAGCACAAATAACGAACATCTACTGGTCATCCCCAATGGGTTGCGTGAACGCGTCGGGCATAGACGAGCTTATTGCCAGAAAGTTCTCAACGAAGGGACTTTCAAGAGACTTTCAATGTACTCTGACCGCACCAAAAGATGCGATGACGACGAGTACACATCCATTACAGCTTCGGCAGTAAATGGTAAAGTGGTTGTACCTGCCTACCTGTAGACTTCGGTCTTCTCAGTTACCACCGAGGTGTTGATGTACGCTGGATCAGCGTAGCCGATAGTTCCTAATATGGGATTGACTCCGTCAATACCAAGCCATCGAGCTACCTGAGCACTGCTGGACCTTGAAGTGGCCCAGTGAGCGATGCTCGGCGAGACACGCAAGACCGAAGTCTGCAACCTTGGCTGAGCCGTTCCTATCGAGGAGGATGTTCTGGGTCTGAGGGTGAAACGTCGATAGTGCACAGTACACGAACCGATTTCTTTCACCGATTATTCGATCACTCCAAGGGTAAATTCATCGAGATTAATATACAGTCTTACCTTGATGTCCCGATGAAAGACCCGCGGTGTTGCGTTGTGTAGATGACTTAGTCCTAAGGCAGCATCCAAGGCGACGTTGAGCCGCTGATACCAGTTGAACGAGGGGTGACCAGAAGGTTGTAGGCGACTTGATACATCACCTGATAATAGACAGCAATTAAGGATGATCTAACCTTATATGTTCACTGCAAAACGAAGTCATACACGACACTCGATATACACGCGTTCGAATAAGCAGCCCGGCCCAATATTGGTAATGACAGAACTGACTGATTAATGACTCACCGCCAGAGAGAAGCTCGTAGACGAGACACCGTTCATGGCCGTTCCGGGCAAATCCCATCAGAATGACTAGGTTGGCGTGTCGGAACTTAGACAGAACCTGAATCAGAGAGGATACCACAGAGTCGAGGATACCACTGGGATCGTTGCCTACTTTAACCTCCTCTTTGAAACCTGACTCCTTCGGCGCTTGCAGCACCTTGACTGCAACCTAACACCAGAGGGCATAGGCAGCGGAAGTGTACTCTAGATATGATACCTCAGTGCCGTCTTTGAGTTGGCCACGGTAAACACATCCGTAGGTACCAGTACCTGCAAAGACCAATGGCAGTTTTCGAGATGGAGGGTGGATCCGGAGTCCCTACCGAGGACGTTGTCTTGAGAAAAGTTATTGGTCGCCCGCCGCAGTTCCTCGTAAGGATACTCAAGTGAGATGAAATTCAAGTTTGCATCCGTTGGGGCAGCGTGATTAGGACGCATTGATGCTGTTATGTCAAATGCCGACAACTGAATGCCAACAATCCGCCTCGGACCTCGCCATATACCGAATAAGCCGAATAGAATAGCCCGTTACGGCCTTGGTTATAATAGAGACACTCCTATTTGACTAACTTGACGCAACACTAATTAACGACTGTTCCTCATACGTACCAGATAGCTTCAAATGGATAAGCATACAAGTGGCACTCAAGTTAGAATTCTCGATAAGAACTACGGGCTGCATAACCAGATTGGATCGATCCTTACCTAGTAGGAACTATCGGGGAATTTGTCACAACTAGTGGCTAAGTAAAAGTTTAGACCATCTACCAGTTGAGGCCATCTCCTAGGCAATGGAAGTGTCGAGTATCGCTGATTGCTGGCAGCAATCCCCCAATGTCATCACCTCGATACTATTGACAGTAAAGTAGTGATCGAATAGAACACGTAAGCTGTGCTGTCGCTGCAACACCGCCTACAACATGGTCATTCGATCAAGAAACCTTCCTGATGCGAGGACGGAAAACGCATTATGGCAACAAGTTGTCGAGCGAGTAGCACGGGACGTGCCCATATCCTTGTACAAGGAATCAATCCACACCGACCTATTGGCGATGTGAACGTGCTACACTCTAGTGTTAACTCCGTTGATCCCTTTAAAACGGACTCTCCAGCTCAATTAAGTTAAACAGGGCGAGCGCGGTCACAATGACGCGGTTGCGCCGTTGCGGACACTTGGAAGCATTGTCGTCGGTCGTAAATACCCAGCATTGACAAGAGGTGTTCAAGCCTTGAACTTCAAGGTCTTCGTAACTTGTGAAGGGAGATCGACACAGTAGCCGGGCTCTCCGGATGGTGCTGATGCTGAATTTTATGGAGATAGTCTATCCTGAAACTTGAGGAACGGATGTTTATCACTCTCCAGCTGTGACTATGGTAAGTCGGTGAACTCCGGTGAGCAGAGAAGTTCCTTCGTTGAGGAGGGTGGCAGGTACGTGTGCTCTGAGGTACGTTGGGATGGGGTACGACTCGTACCGTACGAGTGTTGGCCCCGCGATCATGATCGCAAACTAGTTCCTTGTCCAAGAATTGAAGTTGAAGTACTTTGGGTGCCGCATGGCATCGCGAGTTGAAGCCATTCCAGAAACTGTTTTGGAGACCACCGGTTCTACTGTAGTGATTATCGCATATATAGACCCGCTGAGATCGTACCGTTAGGAGCAGGCCAACTCCCCTTGGTTAATTCTTTCAAATTTGCGCCATCAAAGTAGGTTTCGCCAGTTTTTCGGCCAATCTGTATATAGCGGATATTGCCTGGCTCGAACGGTAACTATATGTGAGTGAAAATGTTGAAGCGTGCCAACAGGTATTTGAACCCGGGTTTACTTTCGTGGAGATTCATCCTCGCTTGCTAACAATAGGATCGTTATTAGTTGAAATGCAATTCCAATGGGAGCGGTGCCGATATGTCTAGGATTCCATTTTTGTTGTCTATTTCGCGCTTGGTTCCAGTTGTCAATTCATGGGTATTGTCATTGCCTCTCGGTCGCATATCCCAACTTCAGCACTATCCGATCCCCGGAGGCCTCCTCCAAAAGAGGATATCATGTGAACGGTAGATCGATGCCTCGTGTCGATCCTTAGATGGCCACAGCCTAGCTATCCACTGAGGAATAGTATTGTGCCTCTCAGTCTCATTCTCTCTCAAGGGTCCATTTCTGTTCATTGTCACGGCATTGCAGTAGCAGGGTGCTTCTATGAGAGAAAAGTATGCTTCACCCTCGGTTGACTAATAAAGTGATAGTACTTTTTGATTGTCTTATTCGGCATGGGCAACCGCTCCGAGCAACCCAGATCTCCCCGAGAATATCTGAGACGCCTCATCGGCTTCCTTTATCGTGTGCGAAATGAGCTGCTATTGTATCTTCAAATCGGCCTCGTTATGATAATAGCGAGTTGGCTGGGTCCAGCAAACCGTCCACTTGGTAGTCCCGGGGTCTTCACTCAGCACAAGGGAGTGTCTTGATGTTCTTGTCTCTGCAACACTCAGGGCGTGTATTGATGGTGATCCTCGCGTCTGTACTCTTCGTGGGGACGGGCTCGCTGAGCCTCGGCACGAAGCATCCCGACAGTAGTCTCAGACGAAGCAGAATGATGCACCTATTGGTGAGTCTGGAGCGAGCGGGACGGGTGGTTGTGGATAACCTCCTCGAGGAACCCTCGTTTGGTGGGTCTACAGTAATCGTATGTAGTTCGAGGCGACATCACTGCGACCGATTTATAACGAAAACGATTCTGAGAAGGAGAGAGTACTCCTTGTTGTTGACCTCGTGAATAGACCAATGCTAGTTTTCGAAATGGAGAGTGGATTCGAGGTCCCTACCGAGGACGTTGTCTTGAGAAAAGTTATTGGTCGCCCGCCGCAGTTCCTCGTAAGGATACTCAAGTGAGATGAAACTCAAGTTTGCATCCGTTGGGGCAGCGTGATTAGGACGCATTGATGCTGCTATGTCAAATGCCGACAACTGAATGCCAATAATCCGCCTCGTACCTCGCCATATACCGAACGAGCCGAATGAAATCGCTCGTTACGGCGTTGGCTATAATAGAGACACTCCTACTTGACTAACTTGACGCAACACTAATGAACGACTGTTCCTCATACGAACCAGAAAGCTTCAAATGGATAAGCATACAAGTGACACTCAAGCTGGAATTCTCAATAAGAACTACGGGCTGCATAACCAGATTGGATAAATCCTTACCTAGTAGGAAGTATCGGGGGATTGGTCACAACTAGTGGCTAAGTGAAGGTATAGACCATCTACCAGCCAGGCAATGGAAGCGTCGAGTATCGCTGATTGCTGGCAGCAATCCCCCAATTTCATCACCTCGATACTATTGACACTATAGTAGTGATTGAATAGAACACGTAAGCTGTGCTGCCGCTGCAACACCGGCTGCAACATGGCCATTCAAGGAACCTTTCTGATGCGTGGACGGGAAACGCATTTTGGCAACAAGTTGTCGAGTGAGTAGCACGGGACGTGCTCATATCCTTGTACCAGAAATCAATCTACACCGATCTATTGGCGATGTGGACATTGCTGCACTCTGTTGTTAGCTCCGTTGATCCTTTTATGCGAGGTTGATAGTGGGAAAAATACAGCCGTAGGTCGTATTGAGCCCTATCTATCAACCGGTCAGAATCCATCGAGATCTGGCTCATCGGGGAACTACTTTTCCCCGATCCTCGTGGGACAACAAATTGTGCCACACGTTGATATCCTTCGCACGCCCAACGAAACGCTCGGATTCGTCTCAGTTATAACAAGTCCGAGACGCCATTTGGCTAGTTCGGCCTCTCGAGACTTGTTTTCTTTCCCCATCCCAGACCCGCCCGGGACATTTCTCCTCTCATGCCCTATCTTTCACTTGACAATGCTCCGGCTAACCGTCAGCCAGCGAATCGCTGGCAGCGATCATCAAGTCAGATATCCATATTCTAGTATCGTGCTTCCAGCCGCCACTACCATTGTGTGGAAGCTGTGGCCACCACGACCAATAGCCCATAAGGCTGCATCAGGCCAGCAGCCTCGGTTGGAAGCATGCAAGACGCTCCCAGCTCATCACAGTCCTCTTTTCGTGACCGTCACGGCCAATTATGAAGATGCTTGTCGAGCCAGCCACGACAATGCATCAGCATCGGCCGCATACTTACGAGCTGTGACTGGCTCCTACAGCTGTGGTCTGGTGGACGAGATACTGACTCTTGCACAAAGTCTCCGTCATGTCCGCCGAGCGAGTTCGGCAAGCACCGAACCACAGCTCAATGGGTATACTCGTTCGACAGACGATGTTCTCGAATGGATAAGGGAGCTAGCCCTCAACCCATTCAGCCGTAACCTTCGCGGGTTCGACACCTCGTGCCGTCGACAAAACTGCTACGGTTGCGGTCTGTCCGCCTCTCTCTCACCCTTCGTCTGGACAGCCCGTGATCTCGTAGTGGATTTTGAATCTCACTATCTAGCTCAATTATGATGAACAGGGCGAGCGCGGTCACAATGACGCGGTTGCGCCGCGCCGGGGCACCAGGTTAACAAACGCGACAAGAGTGCGCTCAACATATATTTTCTTAAATTCACATACATCATTCTTGGTCAGTTACCATCACTGTCTACCTTTCGACCCCACAGATCTCGTTAACATTGTCTTATAAGTTATAACACTAACCAAAGCTTCACTATTCGGAGTAGGCCAAATACGACAGCGTCCTGCTAGCCGTGTCCCGAAAGTTTAAATGATTAGGGATTAACGCAAAGTACAAGACTTTGTGGAAGCTTATTTAACAGAATAAATGAATGTATAAAGGCCCCTAGCGCTAAGATTCGCTTAGGGCTAATCTATGTCATTTGTGTCTAAACAAGGGACGAAAAGACACAATGCACAACAACTCCTTTTGCATGAAAATGGATGACAATCATCATAGTCATCATACTCCGGGGGCAGCTTGCAATAACTGGAAACCATCACTATATAGGTCTTTTACAACCTTACTAACATCCTCAGGTAGATGGGTTGATAACAGTGATGGGTTTAAATTAGGAGGAACATTAAATGTATAAATCAAAGAGGTAGAATTTTTCTCAACACTGAGAAGATCATTGCCAGTATTAACAATAGCCTTACCATCGGAATCAACTCGTTCAATGATACCGATAGTATGAGTGATATGAGGAGCTGCACCAGCCTCATCTATATAAACATACAGAAGACCACGACCTGCCATAGAAGGGTTGAGCTCGTTCGTGAGAGAAATACACGAATTCGAGACAACGCATACATCAAGGTGCTCCATTTGAGTCCAATCACAGGGTCGAGAACATGATGATCCCATGTCTTCACAACAGAACACATCTAGAGATGCTGCTTTTTCCGCCAACTCCTTACTCGTCATTCTCCATTTAGAGCATCGAGTGCATTCCACCCAGTGAGACAAAGTTGATAGATCTGCATTGTCAGCTACTCGATGTAGGCCATCTTGTTCACCAGTGGGCAAAGATCTACAAAGTTTTAAATTGATCACAGATTCATAACTTTGTACTTGATGATCATTTTCCAACATAAGTAAAACCTTACTTGAACCAATCTTCTTCATTACAATCCAAGGCCCATCCCATGAAGTTGAGAGCTTGAACCCTCGAGGTCGCCACCTGAACACAGCATCTCCTTCACAAAATTCTCGATGCTGATTGATATCACGAATAACTCGCTCAAAGGAGGCGTTCCTTTTCACAGACCAAATATCTTTATACATCTTGAACTGAAGTACCTTCTTCCTCTGTATCAAGTCAATCACATCCTTCGTTGGAGTCAAGTCCAACAATGGGAGGAAGTGAAGCTTCTGAGCATAGTCTGTTTCATCAACATCATGGAGCCGTCTTGCAGAATATCCTCGCACTAAATCCAGGGGACACAAATCAATCTCATCGTCATAAGGAAGAGTGTTATGAAGATGAACCGCAAGTGGGAGGTATTTGGCCCAAGAACCTACATCTTCACCCTTAGCAGCTAAAGCTCCTCGTACAAAGTCAGCAATAGTACCATGAACTCGTTCAAAATAACCTGAATGACCGGCATTATAAGCAGGGTTTATAACATGCACAACTTTGTAAGGCTGAGAGGCTAAGAACACCTTGAAGGATTTAGATAAGAATCCTTTCTCTCTGTCACTGACCAATACCCGTGGAACAGCTTCAGCTTCAAACACATGCTTAACTGCTGATATTAGTGTAGATGAAAGCCTATTGGGTATAGGAACAGCTCTGGTGACTTTAGTAACCGCACACGTTGCCGAAAGATAATATCGACAGGAAGAGTCATCATCTTGTACAGGGCAGTAAGGACCACAAATGTCTATACAAACAACTTCCCATGGTTCCAAATTTGACTGTCACAAAGGAGCACTACCTATTGCTTTGCGAGCTCCTGCATCTCTTCGCATTTTATCACAAATGAGACATTGCTGATTGAACTGCTTGCATTGACCCTTCAGACCTCTGAACACGAACTTAGCGGTAAGTCTCCTCAAGTTTTGAGCAATGCCTCCATGAACATGATACCTTCGAACCAAGTAGTCCTGTAGTTGATGATCAGACTCGGGTATTACTATCCTTTCACCACCAACATCAACAACTTGCTCATCCTGATCAGTAGTCCAGAGTAACGTACGTCTACATAACAATTTGTTACTCTGACCGATACACAAACCCCGATTTTCGGGTTTCTGCAGAGTAGCACCCTTCTTCACCTTCTCATATAATCCACAAATAGTCGGATCCGCCTTTTGAGCCGTTGCTACTGTAGACGTCACATCAATAGACCTTGCATCGAACTTAAAATTTTGTTCTTCAGCAAGTTGGACTCCAATAGCCAGGGTTTGTCCATTGGGAAAATGGGAAAAGTTTCCCTTGGGAAGTTTCCCACTTTCCCGTTCCCGGAAAAACTGCCAGTTTTTCCCTTGGGAAAAATGCGAAAACACCTCGTTTTTCTCTCCCTTAGCAGTGTAAACTACGGGTCATACTCATAAAGCGATCATGTTTATTTCAGTGTCCTTAAATGTCCATAGTAAAGTGCAAAAGCAGTGTTCTAGCCGTGTGAGCGATTTTTCCCACCCTGGGCGCGCGCTTCTCCACAAGTCTCTCTATAGCGCGCTTATCATCGAACATTACTCTCACGAAATCTGACTCAGTTTTAGTTATCCAACGGTTTGGGAGTCCAAAACTTCGATATATACGATTTCAGTGTTGAGTTGGGACCTCGTCGAGGTCCCTAACGCAGATAATCAATGCCCTGAATCTTCACTCAAAAACTTCGAGATTAGTTAGGATAAGGATCTCATCATACGTATAGACTATCCACTGATTATTTGAATAAACCTCTGTAAATAGCTAATTGTAATGAAAAGCGCGCGCCACACCAATCGATTGATAGTAATAATTGGAACAATTAGTGAGAAATCGTATCTAGGGTAAGTACGACATGGCCGCTGCCCTTGAAGACCACGAGAGCAGCATTAGGATAAGGACACTCTGTTCTATGACAATAGACAGCAACGGGTAGCAAGTTCTATGGTATTTGTCACTATTGATCGCCATTTCTGTAAGTGTACATGTACCCTGGTGTGTACCAGTTGTAACTATTGATATGACAATTTCT